TCTGAGCTCAATGATGCAGAAGTTACGAGAGGGCAAGTCAAAATGTTCGGTTCTTGGATGTAGCGACCTGAAGCACTTCAAGGATTCCCACTTCAACAACCTCCGCCAGTATACAGAAGGGTTTGTTATTATATTATTATTAATACAGATTTTTAGTGGCAAGATTGGACCGTAGTCATTTATCTTGTCAGTGTGCTTGTTTTAACAAGAGAAATAGTCGACTTTCACTAATAACACAACATAGTTAACTTAACGTTACACACCCCTGCATCCATGTGAAGACGTTGTTCTGCAGGTTCGTCGTCGTCTTTTTCAAATCGCTCGCTCTGGCTCCAATATGTAAGGCTTGATGGACAAGTCTTCTGTTGTTGACATTTTGTTAACGAGTGACTAAAAATGTTCTTTGAAGGTATCGTATATATTATAGCATATCTCTAATCAAACTACAATAATGGCCGAACGCGGGGAGTTGAACCGAGTGTTAACTCATCGACCTGGAGAGCGGGCGGGGTGTGACGCATCTCCTTTTTATTTAAAGGGGCCGCTTTGAAACGGGTCGCTCACAGACGCACATCAGAAAAGGGGTAGAAAAGGGGCCTGTGGATCTATAATAATGAGGAATTCAGACCCAAGCATTGCAGTTATGCTTTATATAGACCACAAATGTATGATTTATAAGTAAAAATTAATGATTTTAAAAGCATGATATGTAGGGTTGGGTATCGTTTGAATTTGAACGATTCTGATTCCGATTCCTTGTTTCGATTCCGGTTCCTAACGATTCTCAATTCCGATTCTTTTAAGAGGCAGGGTCAAAAAAGTTTAGCTAACCTTGCTTGTCTTTCGGGAGGAAATAATCCTTTCTGAAGGAAATACTCCTTCTGTCACAAATACTCCTTTTGTCACAAATTTAGCATTTTGCCGAGATTTCGTTATTTTTAGAAAAGTGAAGCCACACTTTGGACCCCCGACGTAAGCTACTCGCGCGGTTATGCCAACACTTCCGGTAGACGCTTCTTCGTTGGTGTTGTTCAGCGGTTTCTTCTTCCGCTCGGCGGACTGTGAATATCGAAACTAGGAATCGAAATTTTAACTTTTGAACGATTCCGGGAAAAACGAAAAGTTAGTCCCGGTTCCAATCGATACTCGATTCTCGATACCCAACCCTAATGATATGTACCCTTTAAATTACAGTAATGGACTGCTTCATGCTCACAGTGCTCACCTGGGAAGTTGACCGTGGCGTGTACGGGTGCGCTGGTCGCCACAGAAGCGTGCACCAGGTGCGGGTACTTCAGACGGAACCAGGCAGCAAGGGATCCTGGGTAGGAGCCGCCAAATGCAATCCACTTGCTATTGGTCAGGCCTCGAGATGCTGCAGTGACTGAGCGGAAGTGTGCGAGATCGGCCAGAGCCTGACGACTACTGAGGAAACGCAGATTCCCTGCGCTCAGATCCCTGACAACACAGCACAATAATCTATTAGCAGCTGTTGAGGTGATATGGATGGACAGTAAAAATAAGATGACTTGTAGTGCCATCTAGTGTTCATAAGCCAGTGTTTCACTCACTCGGTCGGGTGACTCTTCCCGTAGAAGCGGTGCTCCAGTAATAAACACAGGGCTCCCAGTTTCTGAGCGTAGAGCATCCAGGACCCGTACTGCATCCAGGCGGGGCTAGCCGGACCTTCCCCCCCGATCATCAGGAACACCGGACCACCGGCTCTATAGAAACTCTCATTCACAAAGTATCTCTGCAGGAGGAAAGGGTTTATTAGTTGAACCTTTATTGACATAGGTACTTTCGAAATCAGTGCTTTCACATGCATGCATACACACACACAATGGGGACTTTTCATAGTTTTTAAACTGTAAAAACTGTGTATTCTCTCCCCTTACATTGACTCTACCCATAAACCTACTCTAACACAAAACTTGTTGCATTTTACATTTTTTTATAAACCTTTAAATACTTTATTTTTTTATACCAGATGTTCAAATGAGGACGTCCCTAATGGAAGGTTTTTGGAGATTTTTTCAGGTTTTGGTCACTGCTGGCTACAAATTTGTCCCCAAAATATAGTTAAGTAGGTACACACACGTCAAATGTTTGGAATCATAGCGATTTGTAATTGTCTCTGAAATATGTCTCTTATGCTCCCAAAGACTTAACCAAAATACAGTATAAACATTAATTAAAATGTAATTTATTCCTGTGATCAAAGCTGTATTTCCAGCATCATTACTCCAGTCTTCAGTGTCACATTATCCTTCAGAAATCAGTCTATGATTATTTGATGCTCAAGAAACATTTCTGATTATTATCAGAGTTGAAAACTGTTGTGCTGCTTAATATTACTTTGAAAACCGTGATTCAAAAGTTTAGGGCGAGTAAGATTTTGAAATAAAATAATAATAATAATACTTTTATTCAGCAAGGATTCATTAAATTGATCAAAAGCATCAGTAAAGACATTTGTAACATTACAAACTATTTATATTTCACATAAATGATGTTCTTTTGAATTTTCTATACATCAAAGAATCCAGAAAGAAAGTGCGTTTGGCTTCCACAACAATATGAAGCAGCAGCAGCACAGCTGTTTTGTTTTGTGACAGAAATGATTTCTGAAGGATAATACCATGGTTTTCTTTGAAGTATCGTGGTGCATGTATCATTAACACCAGTATGATCTAATGTCTCTCAGTCTTTAGCAGCTGTACCTGTTTCCAGACTCGAGTGTCTGCGCCGTTGAAGTGATCCAGTCTCTGAGTGAACCAGTGCTCTTGCACATCAGACTTCACGTGCACCAGAGCTTCATTTCTGCGCGAGCTTCTGTAGTGAGCAGCGCACGGGGCGAGGAAAACACACGCCAAAACAGTCACTACAACAGCTGGATATTTCTCTAAACCATTACAGCCTAAAGCCATGTTGAAGTGGAACTGCTTCTCTGTCGTGTGATCATGTGTTTACAGTCATGTGATGTGTCATCTCTTCTCTTCCCCCACTACGGTAAAGGCTGAGCTCATGAATAATAAGTAGTTCCACGCTATCCTTCCAATAGCGAGGTCCTTGCTCATGAATATTAATTTATAACGCCTGACGTTGTGTTCTTGCCTTCCAATGGCGAAGCTCGTAAAATAAATATTTAGACTCAAGCCTTCGTCGTATTAACTCAATACCTCATCCGTATATTTCAAAATAAAAGCGACTCGATTGCTTCACAAAATAAAAATGAAAAATTAAAACGGTTATTTTCGCGTTAAGATGTATGATCATGCAAAGAAGAGTTATGCCTTGTCCGTCTGAAGAGAAATTACGCGAAATACGGCGGAATGAGCAACACCTGACAGACTACCGTAAATACTGTAATGTTTCTTAAAGTCCCCGTGAAATCAAAATTTAACCTATTTACTTTGTTAGTGCATATTACTAGTCTTGTGGTGAAAAATTAATCCGTGCAAGTAAAAATATATTTAAAAAAATGTTTTACCTTGGTAATCTTTAATCAAAATCTGAAAAGTTGTGGAAAAGGGGAGTGGTTAAGCGTTTCCCCACCCAAGTTGTGAAACCTACGTCATCAGAAAAAGAAACCGTTCCAGACCGGAAGTAACTTTTCAGATTTTGATTAAAGATTACCAAGGTAAAACATTTTTTAAATATATTTTTACTTGCACGGATTAATTGTTCACCACAAGACTCCTAAGTAACAAAGTAAATAGGTTCAATTTTCATTTCACGGGGACTTTAAAGTTAGTTCACTTGGGATAGTTCAGCCAGAAATGAATATTCTGTCATCATTTTATCGACCCTCAGGGTTGTTCCAAACCTGTATGAATTTCATTCTTCTTCCGAGGACAAAGAAGATCATTTGAAGATTGTTGGTAACCAAACTGTTGGGCCCCTTTGACTTCCATATTTTTTTTTTTTTCTTACAGTGAAGCTCATCCTTGAGATGAAAATATCAAGATTGTTATCTTTTGTAAACAAAATATTCTATTCTGCATCATTTCTAATTAAACTGTAATTTTGTAACATTACGTAGGCCGCTGTAAGGTTCTTTTCATAAATTTCATGGTAAACTTTAATATCTCATGATTTTATTTTTTTACGCATGGAAGGGTTGGTCAAAATCCCTTGTCTCTTCAAATATATCTATAGTCATATATCCTTTTGAAAGCTTATATAAATCCTTTATAAAAAGCAATAATTAAATATATTCATTTTCACATAATCATTTCTGTATTCTTTGTGAAATTATATTTTCTTAAATACATGTTGATGTAATAGTAGTAACCAGCTTCTTTTAGGTGCATTCCAATCCTTCCATTGAGATCTCGCACAAAGGACACACAGGACATGTAACCCACAAGGCCGTTTGTCTCTTTCTCTGGTATCAGTAGAAAGGTCTATGGAGGGATCCTAAAGGCGCATGGACACATATGGTTCTTCGCTGAAAGATGGTAAAGCTATGCAGAACTTTCCCTGTTGTACTAAATGTGTTATTTCCAGCATATTTCTTTCCTATAGGGAGCAAATGCCATTTATCTGCTTTTCTTTGAGTGAATGTTTTATCATTATGTTTTGGTTGACTGAACTGTGTGTGTGCCTCTGACGTTCTCTGTAGGTTCTGGTTGTTTGGATGCATTTGGTATAAAAATACTGCCCAAAAATATAAGTTTTTAATTCCAAAACAAAAAAATAACTATTTCACACAAAAAAAAAACAAAAAAAAAACCCAGAAAGTTCTGGGCCAATAAAAGAGGTCGACTAAACAGAACTTAGCTCAGGTAGCATACCCTTAACCAGGCGCATCGTTAGACATGGGCATTCGGGGCTTCAGCCTCAGATGTTTTTTTTTTTGTTTTGTTATAGCCCCGGATCTATTTGGCTTTAATACTAAAGATCTGGGTCACACTTTATTTTGGTTCTTACTGTTTAATTATAGATTTAAGTAGGTAGCTGAGTAATAATTAGACAAGCATTTTTGTATGCTTTTAGTTTCAGTTAACTACAATAACCCTGGTCATAATACTGAATTATTACAATGTTCATGTACTGTACAGTGTCCAAACTCACTCTCAGCCACTCAGATACACTCACACACACACACACTTGAGAGCTCCAGCGGTCAGAAAGCCTCACCCGTGGATATTTTTACAAAACCAATAACGAGCCCTTTATTTGAAAGGCACAGCGTTTGGACTTGCATAAGTGAAAAGGTCAGAGTGCCGGCGAGAGCTGAAACAGATTAAAAAACCCAGAGCGAAGCGATTGAACGTTCCAGTCGCAGACTCAAAGGAGCTGTGGAGAGATGAAGGTCAAACTGATGTCTGAAACCATTTACAAAGATACTTCCTCCTGCACAATATTTATGGATTTGGGCCTCAAATGCCAAGACAGGAAGTGATTTCTTGAGAGCTGAGGCGACGGTCTGCGTTACGATCACAGGATTGCATGAGTTTCTTGGCACAGCGGCGAGGACGCAGACTTCTGCGAAGCAGGAGCCGTAACGGACGAGCTTCTCGCTCGCTGAGAACACCATCACCATCCGTGTCCAGCCGCATAATGTACAGACGGAGAGTGTGAACAGAGGGAGGAGAGGTGGGGACGTGAAGACGGGACTCGGGTGTCCTGAAAGACCAGAACAATCAGTCAATGATGGAAGCTCTGGATCAACGCCACAGAAATGACAATTCAGAAAAACGTAGAAAGACCATGCATAAATTATTTAATATTTTGCAATTTCTCTAAAGCAGTGTAATTTTAGTATTTATATACTATTGTATTAGATTTTTTTTAAATATATTTTCAGTTTTTGATATGTGCTTATGCAACACACTGCATTAAAAAAATGTTTTCATAATGTTTAAATATTAACCGGTTGAGTAAGAAACTGATGTCGGCATGTGATGTTGAAATGTGGTTGTTTTAATGTTGAAAGAAAGTTTCATGCCGAATGGTTATAAAACACTTAAAGATGTGAAAAATTTAAACAAAACCGTGTCCATCTATTGAAAGAGTGACCGTTTCTTCTGATAACTCAACATCTGCTTGTCTTTATGTCTAATAACTGTGATCGATGATATCTTACCTGTAAGGAGAAGATGGAGCCACACTTTCAACTTCCTGCTGAAATGCCTCTATCAGACTCTTCAAAAAGTCGGTCTTTCGAACACTGGAACAACCTACAGTATACAAACAGACAGATATTGCTTATTTAATCGCTGATATGTATTTTAGAGGGTCAAATAGACTAAGATCTGACCTGTTGGTTGTATTTTAATTTATTGCCATACAAATCCACATTCAACAAACAATACAATAATGCTGCGTTCACGTGCTATGGAAAGTAGGATATTTTACACTTGTGAACTGGTATTTACCAGTGTGTTGCGTTCAAGTGCTTTTGTTGTCGTAAAGTGGTAAAAAGATGGAGATCCAGACCTGTTATTTAGCTAAAACTATTTTAGATGGCTTAAGTCATCTGCAACAGCAAGAAAATTATTCATCAAAACTCAAAAGGTAAATAATATGCTATATATTTTCTAGATCATGAATAGTATATATTTTGACCATTCACGACTCTTGCGGTGCTATCTGCCATTTTGAAAAGTTAAAAGGTTATCTCATCTTGGCAACTCGTCCATCAAAATATTCTACGAGTTGCCCCACTGGAAAATACCACATGAGGGGGTGTTCATGTGCATTTTCCACGTCGGCTTTTGGTATTTACCATAATTACCATAGCACATGAACGCAGCATAAATACTAAATTCATATTTGAAAAAAGGCTTAACTATGTTGTCTACAACTCTATAAAAGATCATTTAAATATAGTTATGATTCAAAAATGGTAAAAGTTTACAACATTAATCATTCAAAGAATAAAAATTAATTGTCTAATGATATAACCAAAACAGCCCGTTCTCATCCTTTAATGTCATATAGAACGCTATATGCAAAAACGGCGCTATACTACACACGGCACCCTTTATCATTAATATAACACGAGAACCCAAGACGTTATAAATCCTTTAGCGTGAATATGACACGCACACCCTACCCCACACCTAAACTTAGCCCTCACAGCACGTGTTATATTAACGATAACGGGTGCCATGTGCGTAGTATAGTGCCGTTTTGTCATATAGCGTTCTATATGACGTTAAAGGATGAGAATGCGTTGAACCAAAAACATGCAAGTAAGTGCTACAATATTGACATTTTGGTGGTTCACTGCCCTTCAAAATATACTCATGGGTCAGAGTACTATAGCGTCTATACAACACCTTATACACTAGGGTGAACATATTTTGATTACCAAAAAAAACAGGACACTCGGCCCAGCAAACAGATACTCAAATGATACTCGAAGTTTACTCAAAGATGCCTTATTAATTTCAATACATTTAAATGCCTCCTCTGTATGGATAGAAAACTGTTATATTACAAGACACAAATTCAGATTCTCAGAGGTTACTAATACTCAACATGTTTTATTATGAAAAATATTGAATGAAATAGTGATAGAAATTTGAAATCTGTATTAGAAAAATAAATATATAAATAATAAATAACTAAAAGAAATACCTCCGAATTGAACAAAAATAGCTCTTACAAAAACGAACTAACAAAATATATTTATATCTTTAGTTTTCTTCCTCTTTATCTTCCTCGTCCTCCTTGTTTGCCCATCTATATTGCTGTAGAGCTGATCTTTTCCAGCAGTTTTTTGAAAACCAGGATATTTTCATCACTTTATAAAAATACAACCAGGACAGGACGTGAAAACAGGACATGTTCTGGGAAAACAGGACTGTTGGTCACCCTAGTATACACCACTCGATCCTGTCTGGATCCTGTCCCTAAAATGCTTTTTTTTTTTTGATATTACCTTTCATGCAGTGTGTAATATAGTTTTATGAATGTAATATAATTTGTGAATGTAAAAGGTCTTCAAAGTTAGAAATGTATTGTCTCCTAAAAGGAAGAATTGATCCTAAACTGCTGAAAGGATTCGTCAGTAATTCCAGTCTCACTTCAAGCTCGAACCTTCGTCGGTTTGTAACAGATCTGCATAATGCCAGTCTATGGTCTTCATTGGCCGCCGTGAACGTCTCCTTTGACCCTTAAACACTGTAGTTGTGGCTGAGACTGGAAGAGTTTGGTTTGTGTTGTTTATGTCAAGAAGACGCAGTTTTCTGAGCTACAAAAGCAAATCCACTTGGTTGCACTTCAAAAAGACGAGGACTCACGCTGGAATTGATACGGAAAAACCAACGCCGTCATTACGGTTCGTATCACTGTGTATCAACCACTGAGATTCAGATTTGTTAATGAGTGTTTGGCTTCCATCACATGTTGTAAGTGGTCGACCAATCACAACAGACAGGGCAATCTGACCAATCAGAGCTTCGGAAGCTATCGGAAAGCGGGATGTAGCAAGCAGGGCGGGGCCAAGAGCTGTGAGAACAGAGCGAGGCCTCATATCTCACGGAGGAGCTTCGGAAGCATAAAAGGAGAAACGATGACAGTGAAGGACGAGAGAGGACCAGGCCTGAACTTTTATGTTATGTTTTGTTTATGTGTGTGCAGTCGTCCATGAGAGGCTGCCACTTTTACTTTCATTTAGATAAACCACGGATGCATGTAAATATATTGTCTCATTAACAAAATCAGCAACCTTTAAAGTAGCATAATAGGGACACTTTAAAAGAGAAAATGGTTTTATTTAAAATGTAACTTTCCATTCTACTTGCCATTTATCTAATATATGCTGAGATCTGACCTGAGAGAGGTGTTTTTGTAGAGCTGTTGTTGATGATGAGTGTGTTTGTTTCCTGAGAGCTGCAGTCAGGCAGTTGGTTCCTGTACAGAGAATAATTTTAGCTTTCTACACTGGCTTATACACACACACTCAAACACACACACACAACCTGTCAGAAGTGCCTGGTATGGGCCGCCCCGAGTCCACTCTCACACACCAGCAGTATCCCGTGCCGCCGTGGCACTGAATGGATTTGTACCGCCCATCTGCACTGCATTCTGGGATAAAACGCTCATCTGACCCCTGAATGCTCGCTTCAGCGAGCAAAGACAGTCTCTCGTGTTCACAGTTCCTTAGAGAGTCTGCAGGAATACAGAGTAAGAAACACTTCAAAACACTCAGATGAAGACGTGATCATCTCTCCTTCTCACCTGTGGGTCGTCTGACCGGACGCTTTCCATTCGGGTCAGAGTTCAATAGGATTGTCACCCAAAATGGAGGCACAGTGACTCCTGCATTTAAAATCAGACAATATCTCAATGGTAACATCTTTATTTTTTATCAATGTCGTTCATATGGCATGAATTTGCATTTTATTTTTATTTGACTTTTGGTGTGAAAGTGCTCAAAAAAAAGATTTTTGTTATTAAAAAACAAACAATTATCTCCAACCCAAGTGAGAAAAATAATCCAAAAGAAATGTAACACATTACTTTCCATTTTGAAGTAACTTAGTAAGGTAATTAGTTACTTTTTAAGGAGTAAAACACTGTACATCAATATGACAAAAAAATTGTTGTTTTCATTAACATTAGTTTGTGTTTTGCTTGTATTTGAGCTTTGCTTATCACTAAATCCATGCAAAAGACTGCAAATATAAGATTTTGATGTAGAAATGAACAATGAAGTCACCTTCAGTCGTCGGCACAGGATCAGGAACGGCTCGTTCTAAACCCAGAGAGGAACATGTCAGGTAATGGGACCTTTATTTCATTATACCGCAGTATTTGTGTGCTTGTGCTAATTCCGCGTCGGTTTCCTGAGCACTATCTGACCTTCATCACAGATAAATGAAAAACAGATCGCTTTAGGTTTGGTGAAGAAAATGTGAGTGATGCTTAACCATACAAAACGGTTCTCTGAGGGCTCTAGAAATGTTTTCACCCCAAAATCCTAAACTAAAGCCCAATTTAAAGTGTCTGTATTAGGGTTATTATTGTTAGCTAAAACAAAACTAAAAGCTTATTTTGTTTCAGCTAGTTGCCAAGGCAATATTTATTATTTTTATTTAGCTTAAGTTGATGTAAGAAAATACATACATATTATTTTTTTCACTCAATTATGTTGTAATAACGAGATAATATGTTGTTAAAACACAGTATTTTATCATTAAAACAAAATTTTCTTGTAATAAAACATTAAAAAAATGTTGTTTTAATGACATATCTCGTTATTACGAGAAAACGTTGTTTTAACACCAAAAAAAAAAATCTCGTTATTACAAGAAAACATATAGTTTTAACAAGAAAAACATATCTCGTTAATACAAGAAAATGTCACATGACTTTGTTTTGTTCATTGAGGGATTTATTTGATAATTGTGCTTCCACCGTAGTTTATGAACATGTCTTCTAATCGGAAAAAACATTAACCGACTCAATTGAGCGCATACGTTTTTTTATGCTCATTTTTAGAATTTATGCAAATCTTGGCATTTCCATCCTTTGTTTTTTTGGGGGATATCCCAAAATTCACGTAAAATGAATGATACTAAAATAACAGTGGTCTGTCTCACTAGTTCACTCTCAGAAAAAAAGGTACAAAAGCTGTCACTGGGGCTGTACCTTTTCAAAACGTAAACTTAAAATTTTAGGTGTTAATATGTCCATTTTAGGTGCTAATAAGTACATTTTTGGTGCTAATATGTACATTTTAAGTGTTAATATGTACATTTTAGGTGCTGATGTGTACATTTTAGGTGCTAATATGTCCATTTCAGGAGCTAATATGTACAGTACATTTTAGGTGGTAATATGTCCATTTTAGGTGGTAATATGTACATGTTAGGTGCTAATATGTAGATTTTAGGTGTTAATAAGTACATTTCAGTGCTAATATGTACATTTTAGGTGGTAATATGTCAATTTTATGAGCTAATATGTAGATTTTATGTGATAATATGTACATTTGGGTACTAATATGTACATTTCAGGTGCTACTATGTACCACTAAGGTACCAATATGCAGCCTTTGGGTACAAAAGTGTACCTTTTGAAAAGGTACAGCCCCAGTGACCGCTTTGGTACCTTTTTTTCTGAGAGTGTTCATTGGTCTACAGAACTCACCTGTGCAGTTGGGCCGCAGGTGTAGAACAGAGCTTCCGCTCACAGGCATCCCATCAGCGCTGGAGCACCAGCAAAAACCTGTCTGAGTGTGACACTGCACCTACAGGTCAAAGGTCACGAGAGCTCATGCAGGGGATGGAAACTGATTGAGGTAAAAATGCCAGCAAAATGAACAACAATGTCTCCAATTGAACCAATTACTTGTTTCTTTTGAGATTATAAATGATGAATAATGCAGTTATGAATATCAACTCTGAATTTAGTATCACAATATACCTCTGCATAAGATCCGTCGTCGTCACATATTGGGATAAAGACGGCCAAGGAATCCGAACGAGCACTGGCCCGCAGAGCTTGAGAACGAGCCAGCTGACATTTAGAGCTCAACGCATCTGCTGACAAACACAAAACACTGTCAAGACACCGTCCGTCGAGAGCAGAAACTCTGAATCTGGTGCTTTACCTGTGCATGTTGACAGTGTGTCCATCCTCAGCTGGCTGTTAATGCACTGGGCACGTTGAAAAGAACACAGAGATTTGTACATTCGTCCGTTGCTGCCACACACCGCTTGACGGCGCCCTCTAGCACAGTCCAGCACACACACTCGAGGCCACTGCTTGTCCAACACCAGCAACTGTAATTAGAGAATGGGAGGGGGTCAGGGTTTTTTATTTTGCATCTGGCTGAATGTGAAAGGCTAGTCTGTGTAAAAGCCTGAGAAAAAAGGGAAACATGGTGTCTGGCTGAGGAACAGCCGTCTACTGTGGAGAAAACGCTGGAGGTCCCGTGATGCGTAAGGTGATGCAAGACACTTTAGACACACTAATGAAAGATTTATATTTTTGTACTCCCGCAAAGGGCAGATTATCTTGTTTGAAGTAAGCAAAAATAGTGCATATTTATATTTTGAATATAGCTACAAGATAAAGTATTAAAAAATTACATTCTCCTGCATTTGAAATTGGTATCTTCTGATGCAGGAAAATAAAAGTTTGGTTAAAAAGCAATCTCAGTCTGAATTTATTAATATTGGGAGAAAATATCAGAGCATGTTTTTTTATTTGTTTGTTTTTCAATTACAGCAGTAACAATCTTTCTATGACAGATTACGTTTTGACTGAACATATGTAATGGGAAAAAGGCAAAACAGTTGCAAAACAATAGCAGAGATTCCATTTACCCATGAATATCCTAAGCAGCGTTTACTCATGAAAAGAATAGAGCAGTCTGTCCATTAATGAAGACAGAGAGAGAGAGAGAGAGAGAGCTTGCAAAATGACTTGCAGATGTAACAAAATCATTACTGAGAAACCATGAAAACCTTCAGCAGTTCTTTAAAAATAAATTTATTACACAACATGCTGTAATAAAAATAAAATGAATTAAATACCCCTTGTAAAATGTGTAATAATTTATGTATAAAAGGGCAAATTCCAACATGCCCATCAGATTATATATTTTATATACATTGGTTAATTAAAATTTCCATTTCCCCTAATTGTTGTTGTCTTGCACTGCATGATTATTAGTTTGCATCGCAATACAAAAATGCAACAATACGCATCGTGGATAGTCCCCCCAAAATAAAAATTACAGTGTGAGAAAAACTTCAAGTTTTCAGAGTTTTAGTGTCAGTACTACATTGAACTACTATATATAATGTTGATTATAATGTAGAATAATGCAATGGGGGAATTTTTGTGGGTCCTGATAATGCCAAATGTCTGATGTTACCAGTAAAAAGTGGCCAAGATTATTCTAAATATATCAAGTCAGTGAAAGCGAGCAGGCATATTCATCGACAATAACTCAATAACTCACAATAACTAATTTCAGCTTCAGAATCATGAATACATGTTATTCTGGTGTCACCGTTGTCCTTGGGTTACAAGCACAAAGTCCAAGCCTATTCATTTAAACCTACAATGTAATATCAAATTTAACATTTTAAACAGTACATTTTTTGTTTACCTTTTTACCATATCTTGGAGTATCGCAACATTTTCGTATTGTGAGTTTAGTATCTTGATATGTATAGATAGAAGAGGGTATCGTTACACACCTATTATTAGTTATAGAACTGTTGGAAGGAGCACTTTTTAGGTCTCAACAGCAAGAATATTATAAATTCTTCTAATATTTTACACAGAGTAAGTCAAGGTATAAAAGTTATACTTAAGCTGCTACTGATCTTGATTTGCCCAAAGTCATCAAGATGGAAGCTTTCTACGGCCTCATGGTGCAGTTTCAAAACGCAAAAGAAAATGAAACATTAAAAGTGACATGGACACAGTTGTGCTTAAACCTGCTCCCGCCAAGAGTGCAGTAACAAACAGCCGGAGCGAGTAAAGTCCCTCACTCTGTTGGAGAACAAGGCAGCACTGTGGACATGAGGCATGTCTAACAATTTTATAACTGTGAATGAAAATAAATAGTCTTAGTGGCCTCAGGTGGTTGGTTTAGTAATGAATGAGAGATGTACTGCCACTTTGCTGACAGGTGTGCATATTTTAAATGTAATGCCAATTTTTTGTGTCCTTCTATAACATGGCCCTTTTGAGGATTGAGCTCTTTTAAAGAGTAAACATTCTGTATTATTGTGTACCTTTCAGACAAAAACTCTTTCAGCCTGTTCAGATTTTATGTGGCTTGTGCTCAGGCATTTCACGTTTCCAGGTGGCATTTTTGCAGGTCAACAGGTGTGTGTTTTGACATGGAAATTTATGACATAAAGAAATACTATACAGAGAAATCCACTAGACCCTTTTTACATGCCTTGAGTATGTTAAATATTTAAACTTTGTGACTTTTTAAGAGTTAATATTTTTAAACAGTGCGACAAGTCATCCATTATTACATCACATACTTTAATTATCTTTAATTTTCTGCAACAATTACTAAATATAAAAATCTTATTTTTTTTCAGCAAGTTTCTCAAAATCAGCTTGCATCCGCTTGTAAAAATATATCACGCAACTATACTTACATTAAAGCTGAGGTAATTTTCGCCTCCAGTCGTGATTTACCTGATTTTCGTCCGTCATCTTCACCGAATTTGACAATAGAGAGATGAGAAGTACGCGGCAGGTGAACGTCAACGCCAACATGATTCCCGCCACAACCGCCCACGTTCTACGGTTGGTCGCGTTCTTCCCGCCTGCGTGTGAATTTAAACACAAGGCGCGCGTCCTCGCCAGTGTAACGGCCAGGATCCAGATGTTGAAGAAAGAAGAAAAATCCCGCGCTTACTCAGGGTGTCAGAACAGCCTGACGGTTCTTTTTTTTCCTACGCCGACAACTAACAGACAGACGATAAAAAAGAAAATATAAGCTTTAACACATTAAAACCGTTACTGCATCTTTCACTCATGTTATTTGAAGAGCTGGACACATACTGTAGTACTGACTTAACATTTTCTCACAGGAACACCTCCTCAGGGCGGCAAGGAGGATGGTAAGTTAGCTCTCTATTGGTTGTATTCTTTGAGTCCATTCCTGTTTAGACTACCGTAATAGAGCGGCTGCATTTATTTTTTTATAAAAGTTTATTCATAGCACATACAGTATTTGTCTATTTTGAGCTTTCTTAAAATTATGTTTACCCTACAAATTAAGCTGCATCCACTTTTGAGGCATAATGCAGATTACTACAGAAAATTCCTGTTGTTTTATGAGGGAGAAACAGTTATGGTACACCAAGCTGCTGTCAGTCACTGCAAGGATCAACCATTGTGTAAAAGACTCATTGCTAATACATATTTTGTCACCAATGTTGTTGATAGAACTTGCAGCCTGTTGAAGCTAGAACACACTATAATGTATCGGTCAAGTTGAAAATGTAAGCTTTAGTGGGAGGAAATCTCAAGCAAGCAGGGACACAGACAAAAAAATTCAAAGTGGTAATATTTTATAAGGAAACTTTATGTGTGCATGTGAAATTCACTTTTCATCTGAGACAGAAAGCAGTTTTTGCTAATTTCCAGTACAGCAGATAACGTTTGATATTAAAGAGTACAAAAGAAAAAAAAAATCAGAATTCCAAATGCTTTTATTCAACTTTGCAGATGTAAGAGCAGGCTTTTGGTCCAAGTCTGTTCAAATCTTCTGAAGCCCATCAACCCAACCCTATTCCCTCCCTCTACCCTTAATTTGTTCTCGCTTGAATTCAACACTTTCGATTGCGAATCACCCCCGCCATTCCTTACAGAGAGCATGGTTGGTATTGGATACATGATTGCATAGATTTGTTAAACAGTAATTTAATTTTAATTAAGACATAATGGAATGTTCATTAAGACTTCAGCTCTACCACTCCTTCCCCTCAACCTCCAGAGCTGTAAATTGGGTCCCTGCCCCTCCCTGTAGAAACAGAAAAACTAGTGTACAACAAAAGAAAAGAAAAAATGAGCGGGAGAAAGCGCAACCTGCAACTACCAGGCACATTTGTACTTATTTCTGACTATTAATATAATTCTCCTTTCGACTGTTAATTCAGCAGGGCTATGCTGGTCACATCACTACTGAAGCTCTTACATGGCCATTCAGTAATATTTGTAAAACAATTAGAGATAGATGCCAGATGGACAGTTAATAAATCCTTAAAGAACATGTCTATTTGAGTCTGAGAGTCAATAAGAGAACGCTGTATAGTTAATTGGTGGAAGGGACTGGGTATTTTCTGTGGATTGATTCTTAAACCCCTTAAAAAAAAAAGAAGCACAGACCTGTAGCTACTCAAACCTGCTTACAGTACTCCGCAGGGGTGAAACTGCTCATTTTATAATCTTTGCTTATGACTTGAAGTGCTGTGTGACTGCCCCGTGGTATTCCGGCAATTCTGTGTACTGGAAAACAAGTATGTACAGCGTAGAATCCCACCAACTCAAAATTGCTGGAGAGGAGAGAAATAAAATGGGAGGAATAAGCTGAGGTTAGATTTTTAAAGAGTTCCATCGATCCAGCAAAATGGGTTAAGAGGGCATGTCACAAATTCCCTAACAATACACTTGAGTCATTCTGTCCATTTTCCTACGATATACAGCCTCACTATATGCCAAATAACATATTCCAACCCAACCCAAACCAAACCTCCCACCCCACCAACTCTAGCAAGAAAACAACAAACTTAAAACAAAGAAAAATAGCATGTTAACTGAAAAAGCTCGTGCCCTCCCCACCTGGGTAGAGGGTGCAGGTTAAGTGTCTAGGAATAGACTGAAGCCGAAGCGGATTCTTTAAGCTCCTTTTCGTTCCATTCCAGAACAAACTAATAGTTTGAATTAATATTTTTCTCATTTAATTAACCCAAAGGCTTAACATTAACGATCTTTAAAGGTTACTGCTGGTGAGAAATCACTTGCAAGCTGGAAAAACATTCAGTCCTTTCATTGTATACATGTGATTTTAAGAGGAAACGGAAGAAGATTAAAGAACCTGAGCTGTAGCTACAGTCCAAAGCCACACGACCTCTCTTCCTTGACACTGAACCTGCATCTTAAACTTCTTTCCTTCTATCCTACAACTTTCCTTAAGCTCTCCAAGACTGACATGTATTACACAGAATCAAAAGGTCATCCCTCAATGAGTGGCAAGCTTTATCAACAGTTATTCGCTCTTCCCATAATGCCAAGGTAACCCCCTTCCCCCAAACATCTATCCCCCTCCCCATCAGGTGTGCTATGAAGTCCCGTTTCCAACACTCTTAAATATCTTCCTCAGGAGCACTGATCTCTTTAAGGACTGGATGGTTGAGAGAAAGACAGATGCGGCCCCATCCAGCGCTCTCATCTATCTAGTCTGTGGGAAGATCAGCACTAATGCAGGAGAGAGAGCTGCTCTGGAGTTCTGGAGTTGGTGCTTAGAGGTCGCTCTCCCCGTACAGGGCGGTGGAGAAGGACATGTAGTCAAGAGCACCCGGCACCGCGTCAGGGCCGGCGTACGGTGCCATTCGGGCAATGCAATACTCCGCCTGGTCAGGAGGAAGCTCACGCCTCAACTCCTCAGCTGTGATGAAGTTCTGAAAAGAAGAAGACAAGGGGGTTAGATATGTTGAAGTCGCATACAATGAAAACTTTGGACACCCTGAAATTCTTACCTTGTCTCCGGCTAGGATCTTAAATGAGGCGATGACTTGGTCTGCGGTGTCTGTGTCGGTTGTTTCCCTTGACATGAAGTCGATGAAGGCCTGGAAGGTCACTGCTCCACTGTTGTTGGGGTCAACAATGCCCATAATACGAGAAAATTCAGCTTCACCCTGAGGAACAGATGATAGAGATTAACCCAGATAAACCAGGAGGAGAGTCCTGACCTTGAGTCAAATTTTTAGACGGCATTTAAAGGACAACTCCAGCGCAAGATATTCTATACATACAGTCAACTTCACGAAAACAGGAAGAAGCCATCTTTGAAAAATAATCTCTACCAGTCGATCTACGAACACCGATCCAAGAGTGCTGAACTGTGCAGAATCTCATGTACACGTATGTATCAGTATGTACACGTAGCCTACTGTTCGCGCTCACCTTATCACCTTATTCACATCTCTCCAGCGCACTTGGATCGGCGTTCGTAGATCGACTGGTAGAGACTATTTTTCAAAGATGGCTTCTTCCTGTATTCGTGAAGTTGACTGTATGTATAAAATATCTTCTTATTAAACTGTATGGACACTGACAAAGTTCTCAATGCTTCGGTTTGAATGTAGGGACCCTTATTATGCTGTCGTGTTAGTGTGGGGCTATTTTGAGCCTTGTTAGTGGTAATAACAAACGATTTTTATTTGTCATTACTCTATGCCCTATATACTAGCGTTATACTAGCGTTAAAGGCTAAACAGTTTTTAGAGATAAAACTATTTACATTCGGCAATCATGAAAACAAATCTCAGATAACGGTTGACTAGGTAACAATGTGTAATTAGATCAAAGGTTCATTTTGTGCCGGAGTTCTCCTTTAATTTGAAGCAAATGAAAATGAAGATGTGAGACATAGAAGTACAGTCGGTTCAATGCGTTGATTTTAGACTTCTTTTAGTGCCGTTTCACCTACATTTTTAACACCAAAGCATATAGCAGTACAACCCATTGAACACTGACTTTACTTTGTCCCCTTTTTCATTTGTGTCAAGCTAAATATTACATCAGCCTTGGTCTATTAGAATCTATTCAATAATCACTTTTTCTTTTACAGACTTTATCTCAAAACATAGGTAAAACATAAAAAGTAACCAATGACACCAGACAAAACAGATACATTTTTAACAGCAAGCAAAAGCAGGACTTCAGGAGAAACTGAGATTGAGAAAGGAGGTAGCAGTACCAGGCTGTTCCCAGTGGAAATGAGCAGTGCGCGGAAATCGTCGCTGTCCATTATCCCCGTGCGCTTCTACAGTTCGCAAAGGGAAGGATGAGAAAAGAAACAGAAAGGAAGCATGTGGAAAGCAGAGAATTTGGGGAGATGAAGAGGTTGCACACAAACAAACGAGAAGGTTTGATAGAGAAATCAGAGTGAGTTTGTAGAGAAGACGGGTAAGAGGTGGGGGGAGAGTATGGCAAGGACAAGTAAAACAAGAAAACAGAGGAAGCCGTGAGAAACATTAAAAATAAAATAAAAGCAAAGACCTTAGCTGACCTACAGAGGGCATCTTTTCAAGCAGCAGCACAACAGGTGAGTGATGGAATAAACGAGTGGCACGGCGCAAATACACACAGATGGCAGCAAAACCAACTCTTTCTTCTTTTGCTGGGCTCATACCTGTTTGTCGGTTTCTACGTCGTAACCCAGACTGATCAAACAAGCCTTGAACTCCTCAGCCTGTAAGACACCACTGTGGTCCTGTGGTAGCCAATCACGCAAGGGGCCACAGTGGATGGAGCAATCAGAACATGCAGATGAGGATTGATGATACCGATTG